AGGGTGCTGCCACCAGGACAGCTGCTGCTTTACCTCTGTAAGCTAGATGCCTCCACCACCACCCCTCTTGAAGAATGGATTCCACGTGGTACTTACTTCCAAACCAAAGCCTTGCGTAAGGATTAGGTCATATGCCCATGCCCTATTTCGATGGTTAATTTGACGTGTCAACTTGGCTGGGCCACAGTGCCCAGATATTCGGTCAGCCATTATTTGGGGTGTTTCTGTAACTATGTTTTTGGATAAGAATAAATTCACATAACTGAAGTTTGATTAAAGCCCAACTGTCTTCCAAAACATGGGTAGGCCTCATCCAATCAGTTGAAGGCCTCAACAGAACAAACACTGACACCCCCCAAGCATGAAGGATTTCTGCCGGCAGGTTGTCTTCAGATTTGAACCACATATTACCTCCTCCTTGGGTCTCGATAAGTATGTGAATCAAATCCTTAAAATAAATCTCTCTCTCCTTCTCTCTCTCCCTCTCATTTTCTCTCTCTTCTTACTCCATCCTATTAATCCTGTTTCTCTAGAGAGCTCTAATACACCTACAAGGTGTATCAGCCTTCTAAGTTACAAGCCTAAGAGAGGCTAGTTTAGACATATTCAGACTCATAAGATGGGAAATTTTATAGGCATTCTAGTTGCTGGGTGGCCAAGAAGCCTAACCAATATCCATCATACTTATAATTTAAAGAACCAAATATCACAGCAATCTTTTATATCAAGTTAAACTTATCCCTCAATAACCATGTCTCTTACCAATCCACAGAGAAAATCCTAGATGACAGTTTGGTGTATATCCCTCAAGCTATTTTTTCCTAGTTGCAGACTTTAAATATGTGTTTGGAGCATGCACCTGGTGAGATCCCAGGGAGTTCTACTTATATTTAAGCCTTTGGTCTACAGACAGTAATGTCTTTCTTCTGTATATACCTCCTTTCTTTAATTATGTACATTTGTAAATAATGACATTTCCCACAAGAGATTTTCTAATTTTATCTCTTGATCCAAATTAAAGTCTGACCATAATTCCTTCTCTAGGGAATGATATTGTATGTCTGTGAGTAAAGTTATAAGCATCACAGTCTCTTGGGAGGAAGGTGGTAGTTCTCTCTTAGCTGGAAAAATCCCAGGAAATCTCATTAATTCAGATTCCTTAAAGTTGAAGTTTGTGATTATTCAGCCTTCCCTAGGTTGGAGTTTGTCTTTTCATTTTCTCTGGGCACAAGGATGAAATTTAAAAAATTGCAAGAGAAATATTTTAGTAGCTATAGTTTTAAAAGGCTTTAGCACATAATTTCTTTGGGTCCAAATGTAATCTGCCACATAGAAGTAATTTTTCTCCCCTAAGTCAGAAGAAGTGATGGAGACTGATTCTATTATAGAATCTTTGTTTTCTGACAAGACTGCCATAAAATTTTGTTCTGTACTTTAAACAACAGCAAAGCTGGAATCTGCATGGGACTTTGAATTGTAAGAAAGAGCATTAACCTAGGAATATGATATTGAAAACCAGAGGCATCACTTTGCTGACAAAGGTCTGCAGAGTCAAAGCTATGGTTTTTCCGGGAGTCGTGTATGGATGTGAGAGTTGCACCATAAAGAAGGCTGAGTGCTGAAGAATTGCTGCTTTTCGACTGTGGTGCTGGAGAAGACTCTCAAGAGTGCCTTGGATCTCAAGGAGATCAAACCAATCAATTCTAAGGAAATCAATCCTGAATATTCACTGGAAGGACTGATGCTGAAGCTCCAATACTTTGGCCACCTGATGCGAAGAGCTGACTCACTGGAAAAGACCCTGACACTGGGCAAGATTAAGGGCAGGAGGAGAAAGGGGCGACAGAAGATGAGATGCTTGGATGGCATTATCGACTCAATGGATATGACTTTAAGGAAGCTCTGGAAGTTAGTGAAGGACAGGGAAGCCTGGCATGATGCAGTCCATGGCGTCACAAAGAGTTGGACAGGACTCAGTGACTGAACAACAATGATTCAGGAATGATTCATGACCTAATAGAACTATCCAAGAGAAAGGCAATCCCAAAATGATTGCCACTGTTGTCCTCTAAAAGGCATCTACCAGAGTGCAAGCAAATTCCAGGCATGATAACAGTATTACTGAGCACTTAGAATATTTTAAAATAAAAATAAATACCTGTAATAATACTAGCCAAGTTTCAGAACTTCAAGAGAAACATACTTTCCTCAACATGAAGAAGAACTTAGGAATCATGAGTTTTCTATGAAAAGGGATTCAGTCCTATAACCAACTGAGCTCTTGCTCAGTGTATCGGTTCTAGGTAAAGAAACTTATCTCCCCAGTTCTTGGGAAAACTGGGCAGGTTCTGGGATCAACAGAGTGCCCAGGAAACACATTCTGGCTTCATGTGGCCTTGATTTTTCAGTGACCATAGAGGTATTATATCTACTACTTCCATAGGGAGCTTCCACAAGACTCTTATCCTTATTTATCAGAGGGCAGACAGAATGAAAAAACCACAACCACAGAAAACTAACCATACTGATCACATTGATCACAACCTTGTCTAACTCAATGAAACTATGAACCATTATATCTACCACTGTGGGCAAGAATGCCTTAGAAGAAAGGGAGTAGCCCTCATAGTCAACAAAAGAGTCCAAAATGCAGTACTTGGGTGCAATCTCAAAAATGACAGAATAATCTCTGTTCATTTCCAAGACAAACCATTCAATATCACAGTAATCCAAGACTATGCCTCAACCACTAACGCTGAAGAAGCTGAAGTTGAACGGTTCTATGATGACCTACAAGACCGTCTAGAACTAACACCAAAAAGAGAGATGTCCTTTTCATCATAGGGGACTGGAATGCAAAAGTAGGAAGTCAAGAGATATCTGGAGTAATAGGCAAGTTTGACCTTGGAGTACAAATGAAGTAGGGCAAAGGCTAACAGAGTTTTGCTAGAAGAGTGCACTGGTCATAACAAACACCCTCCTCTAACAACACAAGAAACGACTCTACACATGGACATCACCAGGTGGTCAATACTGAAATCAAATTGAATTATATTCATTGCAGCTGAAGATGGAGATGCTCTATGCAGTCAGCAAAAACAAGACTAGGAGCTGACTGCAGCTCGGATTGTGAACTCCTTCCTGACAAATTAAGACTTAAATTGAAGAAAGTAGTGAAAACCACCAGATGATTCAGGTATGACCTAAGTCAAATCCCCTATGATTATAGGGGATTATAGGAAGTGACAAATAGATTCAAGGGAGTAGATCTGATAGAGTGCCTGAGGAACTACGGACGGAGGTTCGTGACATTGTACAGGAGGCAGTGATCAAGACTATCCCCAAGGAAAAGAAGTGCAAAAAGGCAAAATGGCTGTCTGAGGAGGCCTTACAAATAGCTGCAAATAGAAGAGAAGTGAAAGGCAAAAGAGAAAAGGAAAGATACACCCATTTGAATGCAGAGTTCCCAAGAATAGCAAGGAGAGATAAGATATCCTTCCTAAGTGATCAATGCAAAGAAATAGAGGAAAACAATAGAATGGGAAAGACTAGAGATCTCTTCAAGAAAATTAGAGATACCAAAGAACCATGTCATGCCAAGATGGGCACAATAAAGGACAGAAACGGTATGGACCTAACAGAAACAGAAGATATTAAGAAGAGGTGGCAAGAATATACAGAAGAACTATACAAAAAAGATGTTAATTACCCAGATAACCATAATGGTGTGATCACTCACCTAGAGCCGGACATTCTGGAGTGTGAAGTCAAGTGGGCCTTAGGAAGCATCACTACGAACAAAGCTAGTGGAGGTGATGGAATTCCAGTTGAGGTATTTCAAATCCTAAAAGGTAATGCTATGAAAGTGCTGCACTCAATATGCCAGCAAACTTGGAAAACTCAGCAGTGGCCACAGGACTGGAAAAGGCCAGTTTTCATTCTAATCCCAAAGAAAGGCAATGCCAAAGAATGCTCAAACTACCACACAATTGCACTCATCTCACACGTTAGCAAAGTAATGCTGAAAATTCTCCAAGCTAGGCTTCAATAGTACATCGACTGAGAACTTCCAGATGTTCAAGCTGGATTTAGAAAAGATAGAGGAACCAGAGATCAAATTGCCAATATCCACTGGATCATAGAAAAAGCAAGAGAGTTCCAGAAAAACATTTACTTCTGCCTTATTGACTATGCCAAAGCCTTTGATTGTGTGGACCACAACCAACTGTGGAAATCTTAAAGAGATGGGAATACCAGGCCACCTCACCTGCCTGTTGAGACATCTGTATGTAGGTCAAGAGGGAACAGTTAGAACTGGATGTGGAACAATGGACTGGTTCCAAATTGGGAAAGGAGTACAACAAAGCTGCATACTGTCACCTGCTTATTAAACTTTCACGCAGAGTACATATGAAATGCCAGGCTGGATGAAGCCCAAGCTGGACTTAAGATTGCTGGCAGAAATATCAATAACCTCAGATATTAAACAAAATCAACCTGAATATTCATTGGAAGGACTGATGCTGAAGCTGAAGCTCCAATACTTTGGCCACCTGATGTGAAGAAGTGATTCATTGGAAAAGACCCTGATGCTGGAAAGGAGCAGGGGACAACAGAGGATGAGATGCTTGGATGGCATCACTGACTTGATGGACATGAGTTTGAGCAAGCTCCAGGAGTTAGCGATGGACAGCCCATGACTATTCCACAGACCTCTCTGTCCACACCTTTCTGGATGTATCATTTTTTCAATATTAAAAGGTCACATATGCTTGTTTTTAAATGCAAACATTCCAGAAGAAGCTGATCATAAGAAAGTGAAACCACCTTCTCATCCCAGAGTGTTAACTGTGAAGAGTTGGGTATGTTTCTTTCTGATCCTATTCTCCATGCATGGACAAACACTAACTTTTATCTGTTCTATATCCATCAGTCTATCCAGCTATCTAGCTATCATCTATGTATTTGGTCATTCTGCTTATATATCTAAATTTACTTACATTTGCCCATTGTGAAGGAGGCTCATATTCCAGGCAATAATAGGACTAATCTCAGCTGTATGAGATAGGATTCTTTCTGGTGTCAATTACACAGAATATGATGAAACCATCCTAAGAAGCAAAAAGAAAAAAAAAAGAAAAAGAAATTTGTAGGTTTGCTTTGTGCAGAAATTTGGTGGGGGGCAGGTTTAATTTCCATTCCATTTGATTCAGGAACCCAAATACATCACCAGGACCCTATTTCTCTCTCCCTCCTCCTTTTGTCTCCTACACTGACTTCAGACTCCAGGGATGGGCAAGAAGGTCCAGCAATGTGGGGTCCCCTGCTTTTCCAAGTTCAAAGCAGGGGAAAGAGTAAAGAGACCTGAAAGAAGTCCCACTGCCTCGGGCTCTCGCCACCCTTGCCCCTGGTGTTACTCTTTTACCTCATTACCTTGTTTTATTTTCTTCTTAAACACTTATTATCAACTGAAATTATTTTCAGTATTTGTCACTTGTTTACTACCCGTCTGCCTACCCTGGAAAATAAGTACCACCAGAGTAGCATCACTGCAGTGAGTCACTGCAGCCAGGGAAATACCATGCACTAACTGGCCAGACTCAAGGCCCATGACCCCCTCCCAAACCTGGAATGAGAGTGGGGGAACAGAGGGTACCCCAGAGGAAAATCAGAGTATCACTTGCAAAAGAAAGCTGACTGGAATGATATGTTGAGCAGCAAAAACCACTGAGGTCCATTCCATCAGCTAAGCTTAGATGTGATTTCCCCAACAAAAAGACCAAATACTGTGGTGCTATATTTAAATATGGGGTTTGCCACTTGTTAGCTGAATAACTTTTTGCAAGTTACTTTGCTTCTCTCAGCCTTGGCTTGCCTCATGAGTAAAATAAGAAATAGACCTAACACTTCATATGATGATTAGAAGTAATATAACTGAAGTGGTCAACAGACAGTGTGCTTGTGTGCTAAGTCACTTCATTTGTGTCCAACTCTTAGTCCTGTCCAACTCTTTGCGACCCGATGGACTGTGTAGCCCACCAGGTTCCTCTGTTCATGGGATTCTCTAGGCAAGGATGCTGGAGTGGGTTGCCATGCCCTCCTCCAGGAGATCTTTCTGACCCAGGGATTGAACCCGAGTCTCTTGCATCTCCTGCATTGGCAGGCAGGTTTTTTTTTTTTTTTTTTTACCACTAGCGCCATCTGGGAAGCCCCAATAGGCAGAAGATTCAGTTAATAGTAGCTTTTACTATTTTAGCAGCCCTGATTACTCATTCCTAGTGATCTTCTCCTTTTGATATTTTAAACAAACTCCAGTGCAAACACATTTCAAAAACCCTGAATGTGAGGGCATTAAGAGTTGGTTAAATTGTGCCTCCAGTTTTCTTTTTTTTTTTTTTTTTAAAGCAAAGTTATCGAGAAATTTAACCCTAGCATAGTGTCACCCTGACACAGGAGGCTGCTGCCAAACAATGATTTATAGAAGATCAGTGGCCTGGGTGATTTCTATAACTAAATTTAACAACTGGTCCAGCTGGATATTATCCAATCAGAATAATCAACTACATCAGTTAAAAAGGATGCTGGCCTTAAATAACTTGTCCAGCTATCTTAGGATGCATTAGTGGGAGGCAGGTCCAGCTAGAAGTCACCTTTCAGCGAATCCCTCATCAGTGTCCATCACACAGCTTCATATCAGGAGTGGTCATGGCTATGCTTCATCCCAGTGTGGGAAGATATCGTCCACTCCAATTTGCAACTGGCAAACAACATGGCATTTGTGATGCCATGGATGATAGCTGTCCAGCCCATTCCCCAGATTTTCCCACAGTAAACCAGACACTTGGGCGTTCCAAGTGCCTGTCCAGCTAAACTGACCATCCAGGCATTCACAGAGGAGGGTGCACAGTCTTAGTGGCATGGAGGAGCTAAGGGCTGCCCACTACTTGGGCCAAGACTCAGTCCTTAAATGGTATGAGCAATAGCCACAATCCCAGCAAGTTATTGGAAACCGAGTGATTTTTACAGAAATCAGCATTGTAAAGGCAGCACGCATGGACTGAAAAGTCAGATCACTGCTAATACTACTAATGACAGCTCCAACTTTTCCTTTAGACTCTTTTCTTGGCATTCTTATAAAAATCTTGAACTGGAAGTATCAAGTTTCTGATCTCCCAAGTGGACCTATTCCTGAACCTTCAAACACAGAAAGCAAACTCTCAGTGGCAGTCATCAGTAACCACCTGTAAATATTATGATTCACGCAGCCAAAAGACTTTTCAGTTTCTTGAACTTTTTCCTGCTTTCTTGAAACACCTTTAGACTTCGTTCCTTGAGATATGCCCTTATTATGGCCAAATTATTATGACCAAATTTCATCCACTTGAAATTTGTTAGTTTTTAAAAATTATGGTCACATACCTAGCACAAAATTTTACCCTTTAAAGACTATTAAAGTGTACAGTTTGGTGGTGCTGAGTAGATTCACACTGTGTGCATCCATCATCATCCATATCTAGAACGTTCTTCATCTTCTCAAACTGACACTTTATACCCATTAAACAATAACTCCTCATCATTCCCTCCCCTTAATCCCCTGGCAGTGACCATTCTACTTTCCATCTCTATAAATTGGACTCTTCTAGGTACTTCATATATATATATATAGAATCATACACTTTTTGCCCTTTTGTGACTGACTGATTTCACTTAATGTAATGTCCTCAATGCTCACCCATGGTGCAGCACGTGTCAGAACTTCCTTTCTTTTTAAAGCTAAATAATACCACATTGTATATATTGATATATGCCACATTTTGCTTATCCATCCTTCTGCTGATGAACATTGGTGCTGCTTTTGACTGTTGTAAATAATGCTGGTATAATCCTGGGTTAATTCACTGTTTATGGTTGTTATTTTTTCCCCCAGAAACTTGTTAACTAGATTCCCACCTTGAATATCAGTTCTTGTATCTATATTAAATGGCTATTACAACACCCGCCTACTAGGATTTATTATACCTGAGTTTAGACACACTGTGTCAGGTTTATTGTACAATTTAAACCCAATAAGATCCCAGGTGGCCTCTTTCAAATCCTTTCACACTCTTCTGTCACAGCCAGTGTCTGCTTGCAGTTCTCGTCTAATCAGCCCCAGAAAGACAATCCTCACTTTTACCTGAAATTAGAACAGGTTTCATTTTGTCAACTGTTGGTTGATAAGAGATAAGAAAGAAGATTTCATAAATGGCTACCCAGTGGGCAATATTCATTTTCTTTTTTATACTCTTTGGTATACCCTACATCATCTAAAATGGTCTTGTATTACTTTTCTAATTAAAAAAGAAAACAATGTTGTTTTTCTTTTTACTTGTGTTAAAAACAAAATTGTGCATGAGGAAATCTCTTTTTAAAATAGAGGTCAGCAAGTTTTTCTGGGATGCTGCAGTCCATGGGGTTGCAAAGAGTCAGACACAGTTGGGTGACTGGACAACAGAACTTTTCTGTAAAGGGCCGCATAGTGAATATATTAGGTTTTGTGGTGCACAGTCTCCGCTACAATGACTCGACTCTCTCTGTCTTTAGAGTGTGAAAGCTACCATGAGCCAGGTAGAAACACATGGGTGTCACTCTGTTTTCAGTAAAACTTTATTGGCACTAAAATCCGAATTTCTCCAACCTGAACATTTTCAGTCATCAGTAAAGATCATTCATAGTTTGAGAGCTGTACAAAAACATTTCTACCACTGGTCATAGTTTGTCAACCTCCCTCTAAAAATAGCATAGATGAGATAAAAAGTCCCCTTTAAATTTTATACCAATTCCAGTCTTTTCTTATCAACTTATATGCCTTCTTTTGTTGCTTATTTGCTTATTATATCTTATTATGGAAAGCTGCAGATATACACAAAAGCAGAAAGAAAAACCTAATAATCCCCGCATATACATCACCTAGTCCTCAACAGTGATCAGCTGGTGTCTAATCATACGTTATCTATGGTGCCATTCACCCCCTCTCTGTGTTCCCCTGCATTATCTGAAGCAAAATTTAGATATCATACTTTAGCCACAAATATTTTAGGATGCATCTTCTAAAAGATAATACTTCATTTAAAAATACCATTACCAAGAATTTCCTGGCAGTCCAGTGGCTAGGACTCTGCACTCTCACTGTCTGGGCCCAGGTTTAAACCCTAGTTGGGAAAGTGCTGCCAAAAGAAAAGTAAAGCCACATTATCACATCTAAAATAAGTGACAATAATTTTAGCTTTCAACATGCTAAAGCAGAATTTTAAAAATTCTTTTTTAAGTGACAAGACATCATCAATGACATTCAGAAGTTCATGATAGTGTACTGGTTGAAAGACTAGATTCTAAGTCAAGCTACTTTGCAGTGATGTGGTTATGAGGAAAGACACTCACCCTCCAAAATAAATCTTTGGAGAGAAATCATACTCATTCTTAAAGCTTCTGCTTTTAAGTGTCATTTGTTCCTTTCTTCTTAGTTATCATTCCTCCTCTTTAAAAAAAATTTTTTTATTAGAGAGAGTATAGTTGACTTACTGAAGTGTCACTTCTGCTCACATGCCATTGGCCAAGGCAAGTCACGTGGCTGTGTGTATCTTCAAGCGGGCAGGGAAGTGCAGTCCTACTGTGCGCCCAGAGGAAAGAAAGCTAGAATGTTTGTGGACACCCTCATGAGTGCCACAGAGCTGACCATACAGTTTCCATCTGTGTCTTCTTCTTATCATTCCAATCATGTATGTAAAGGCATTCAGAGAGAGTTACACCTGCCTTCATCTCGACAGTATACCATCACTTTCTTCCTGGACCAAAATACCCATTCTAAGGGTAACTGTGTTTTTTGGTAAAGCAAAAACAGTCTTAATTCTACTAACTTGTTCACCCTGGACTCATTTTTCATCTCTTAAGTCACTGAGATTATTTTAATTGAGAACTTCTCAAGCTGCCTCCTGTTTCTCTAAAGACAAACAAGCTGAAATTAGTCAGAATAATTAGAATAGCCTTTGACCACTGCAAGGTGACTTATTGTGCACCTTTCTGAATTAGGCTGCTGTTTTTATGGACAACTGTTTTGCTGCCAACTCAAATTCTGTCTGAGGCCCCAGTGAGCCCAGCACTGCTCCCCCATCACTCAGATTTTCCACATCTTCAGAATATTTTTCCCCTACAACTCATCCTGTTTTTGATGTACCACCTCTTGACTATAACTCTTTCAAGTTATTAGTAGTCTGATAGTAAGACAACTGGTCTATCTCCTGATACCACTCTAATGGCAAAAAGTGAAGAGGAACTAAAGAGCTTCTTGATGAGCGTGAAAGCAGAGAGTGAAAAGCTGGCTTAAAACTCAACATCCGAAAAACTAAGATCATGGATCAGGTCCCATCACTTCATGGTAAATAGAAGGGGAAAAAGTGAAAGCAATGACAGATTTCATTTTCTTGGGCTCCAAAATCACTGTGGACCGAGACTGTAGCCATGAAATTAAAAAACGCTTGCTCCTTGGAAGGAAAGCTATGACAAACGTAGACAGCACACTAAAAAGCAGAGACATCACTTTGCCAGCAAACGTCTGTCTAGTCAAAGCTATGGTTTTTCCAGTGGTCACGATCAGCTGTGAGGGCTGGACCATAAAGAATGCTGAGCACCGAAGAACAGATGCTTTCAAACTGTGGTGTTGGAGAAGACACTTGAGAGTCCCTTGGACTGCAGGGAGATCAAACCAGTCAATCCTAAAGGAAATCAGTCCTGAATATTCATTGGAAGGACTGATGCTGAAGTTGAAGCTCCAATACTTGGCCACCTAATGCAAAGGGCCGACTCATTGGAAAATACCCTGATACTGGGAAAGAGTGAAGGCAAAAGAGAAGGAAGCACCAGAAGCTGAGAGGGTTAGATAGCATCACTGACTCAATGGACATTGCATGCCCAGTCGCTTTGGACGTGTCCAGCTCCTATGGGCTGTAGTCCACCGGGCTCCGCTGTCCATGGGATCCTCCAGCTAAGAATACTGGAGTGGGTTGCCATTTCCTCCTCCAGGGAATCTTCCTGACCCAGGGATAGAGCTCACGTCTCCTGCAGCTTCTGCACTGCAGGCAGATTCTTTACCACTGAGCCACCGGTGAGCAGGAATTCGAGCAAACTTGGGAGATAGCGAAGGACAGAGGAGCCTGGTGTGCTGCAGTCTACAGGGTTACAAAGAGTCAGACACAATTTAGTGACTGAACAACAACTACCCCCCGAATAACTCTAAAGCCAGCCCTTGAGAGTTATTCTTACTAGAAAGTCACAGTTAAAGGGCCAAAATTTACACTCTTTAACTCAGATGTGCAAAAAAGATTAAAAAAAAAATCTTCCATTAACTGACCTCATTTAGCTCTAGAGTCCCCATTTCTGCAGATGGAGAAAATGTAAACTTGACAACTGGAGGTCATTCTACTTCTCTAGTTTAAAATGGTCTCTTTCAGGTTCAAATTCCCTAAGGGAACCATTTCTTTCATCTTAAGAGGTTTCCATCTTTTGTCTTCTTTTTCCAGATGGCATCTATGAACCACCCGAATGTCCTTCACCAGTAGAATGGATAAATAAATTGTGATGTAAGCCCACCATAGAATTCTACCCAACAGTGGGGAAAAAGTAAACTTACTTGCAACAGCATGTAAGTTTGCTCAAATTCATGTTCCCTGGTGGCTCAGCAGTAAATTTCAGAGGCATAATATTAAATGAAGAAAGCCAGACAACAAAAACTATATGCTGTATGATTCTTCCTATGTGATATTCCAGAACTAACTAATGGTTAAGTTAAAAATTGGTTATCTTTGGTGGAGAGTATTTACTTGGAGAATGCACAGGAGTACCTCCAAGGGTGCAAACATGGTTGTATCCTACTGTGGGCCGTGAATACACGGGTGTGTACATCCACCAAGCAATATACTCTGTTTCCTTTTCTGCATGCATTTTATATCTCAATAAAATAACAGCACAGATGACAACTGCATATGGGGGAAAGTTTAACTAGCTTTGGGTGGTGGGAGAAGACAGCTCATTGGTGGAAACTTCTGAAGGGGGTCTTTCCTCTCTGGTCAGGGAATGTCCCTCATAGGTATCTGTGGAGGGGTGTTTGGTTCCACATCTTTTAGGAGACACATGGCTTGAGCCTCCTCTTCCTTAGCTTCCTGTCGGGAGCTCCCCATTTTAACCCCAGACCTCTCTCTGCCTCACTGTTCTCTGTGTATTTTAGCCCCTTCTTCCCTCCAGGTGGGAAATCCCCAGGCCCTGAGGAAAGGGGCCAGATTGCAGGCCCACAGTTCTGGATGCCTCTCTTAGTCTTTCTTTTCTACTGACTTGGCACCCACCCCAGTCAGAGACATTTAGGGGAGGGGCTGTGTCTTCCCAATGCCAAAAAGGGCTTCTACCCTTCCTGTCTGGTAGCAACTGCCTGTGACATTTCCTCTTTGGGGCCAGCTCCCTCCTGTTTCCTGGGAGATGGGCTATAGGTCAAGAAACTGTCCTGCCAGTCAGAAAAGTCAGGTATACTGGGTGGCATTAAAAAGGTATTATACACACTACTCTATTTCTTTCATGCAAAGTTTGATTTCTTTTCGTCGTGTGACTTGCATGATTCAAATGAGTGTGGCTAGAATAGAATCATAGTATTTTAGCAATGAAGCGATTCTTAATTATCATTCCAGATTCTAAGTGGGACAGTTTCTCTTTGTGTGGTCCTAAGCCTTGAATACATCGAACACCCCCTTTCTGATCCCCACATCACATACATAAATGCCACTCATTAATCAGTAAGACCATCAAAAATACCCCCTGCCCTGCCACCACTTCAACACCACCATAGTTCTAAATGCGAGAAGGTAGGGTTTTAGCCTAAACTGTTTATTTTAGAGATAAGAGAAGTAAAGTCTGAAGCAGAAAAATGACTTATCCAAGCCAGTGGTCAAACAGGGATTAGACCCTGATCTCCTGATGACCAGTATGAGACTTTTATGGCACCCCACTGGATTTCAGTTTAGGTTTAAGGAACTGCCAGGGAACTTCTCTTTCTTACTGAATTTCTGCTTTTCCTTTCTTGCAGTGGAAGCTGCCCCATCATTTCCTCTTTCCCTCCCTTGAGAGCTAGCAGACGCTGTGGTTCCAGAGCACGGTTCCCTCAACCAGAGTAGCAATGGGGACAAGCCTGAGAACTTTCTAGCAGACACACCCAGAGGGAACCCACACTGTTTGCCCACACTCTCCACTCTGACCCATTTATACAGATATGCAAACACACAGCCATTTCTTCGTAACCTCTTTTTTGCACCAAAAATTGATATAGGAAAGATACAGAGAACACTCAATTCTAATTGAGCTACAAAGAGATGAGGCTGACAGCCTGCTGAGCAAAGTAAGGAGGACATTCAGCAGGGTTGCTGAGATTAGAACAGTTGGACCCTTTCATTAACTCATTCATTCATTCTTCATTCCAGTATTTATTGAACATTTACAATGACTGGGTCCATTCTGCATACCAGGTAACATACTAGCAAGCACAACTTTCCCTACTTTTGTGACTCTTGGAGTCTACTGTGTAATTTCAAAGGCTGGCTCTGCTGCTTACTGGCTGTGTGAGTTTGAGTGAGTAGTTTAATCTCTCTGAATTTCTAACTCTTCATTAATAAGATGAAAAAATGGAAATAGAGTGGTGATGATTAGGTGTCAAAAAGTATGGGAAGGGACTAGCCTAGTTCCTGGCACATCATAAGTGCTTTGGAAGTGGAAGTTACTTTTATTACTAAAAATTTAACATTCTGAAGGAAAAATCCCTAAATTTCCATACATATGCAATCTGGACATCAAGTTTTGGTTGAGAATTCTCCATTTTCCCCAAAATCATGTATAATAAACTTACTTTTTCCAAAGTTGTGTAGTGCATATTGTCAACCAAAATTGTGTATACACTATAATACATATTTATAACTCTGTATCCTAAGGTGAGAACAATAGTTTTTATTGGTAGCACACTTTTAAAAGAGTCTTGCATAAGAAAAACATGATAATGACATCATGAGTTTTTTAATATTCTATTCTCTTTCCTGGGCCTCCACTCTTGACAGACACGTTACCTTATTTAGCCTCTGCTGCCTGGTCTTGAAACCTCTAAATAGATTGGTTATTTCAGGCTGGCCAAACCCTCGAAATTATTTGCCAGCAGTCTTTTGGAAACATATCCCCTTACTGTGTGTAAGAGAGGCCAAAGAGAAGGACTGTGTGTTTGTTCCCAGTCCTCTTCCTTCTAAACCTCTGCTTCAACTGTGCAGCTCACAGGAGGAATTATAAGCCAAGGAAGGAGCCTGGCTCTGAGGTCACTGCCAAGTATGTGACCCTTGGCAAGTGACAAAGCTTTAAGAGCCTCAGTTTCTCCATCAGTAAAGTAGGTGGCATATATTTAACTGTATGCACTGTTAGGATAACGGCTAAAGTAATGATTAAAAGAGTTACTCATAACCGAAAGGTAATGAGAGGAAGACTTCTTATAACAAATCAGGGATTCCCCTAAAAAGCAAACTTCCTGGTCTTCACAGTCATATCCAGGGATGTCACGATGTGAGGATGTGACACCCCTGGAGATTTCTATGTGCCCTTTATATGGGGGGGAGGAGTAGAGAGAAGGCTTCTGCTCAGGTGTGGGAGGAGCCCAGGAGAGAGGGAACATGTGACCAGAACTGGCTAAGCACATCCCCTGCAGCTGGCTTGTCTCCATCCGGGGCTGGCAGGGTTCCTTAAAGGTCCCCACAAATTGACAGGGTTAGATACAGGTCTAAAAAGATGCTTCTCTCAGAAATGCTATACATTTTAGGTGCTTCAGCTTGATGAATTCAACCTGCAGGCCTTCCACATTGTTTTCTAGAAGGCCCCAAAACTGCCTGCACACACTTCTGGCCCTAAGCTCTCTATACTTTGAAAAGACTTTCTTAGCATTTTCCTTTCAACAGTTTCCTTCCGTGACAGTTTACTCTGTCCCAGGTGCCATCTTTGGAGCTGGAATCCTAGCAATGAACAGACTAGATTTATCCCTGCTTTCTTGAACTTTTGGGATGGGGTGGGGGAGACAGCCCATGGTCCATGTATGATAAATATGAGGTTGTAATAGATTATGTAAAAGACTTAGAGCAGGAGTCAGTGAGAGTGTCAGAGAGGCTGTCTGAGGAGTTGGCAGTCGAGCAGGGATGTGAATGGTGTGAGCCCTGTCGATCTGTGGCAGGAGTATCCAGGCACAAGGAATGGCAGTGCAAAGGCCCAGAGACATCAGCAAATCATGACTCTCATTCTACACATTATGACATTGAAGTTCCAGAAAATGAAGCTACTTGTCCATGACACAGAGAAACCTTAAATGCATATTACTCAGTGAAAGCCGGAGAAGGAAATGGCAACCCACTCCAGTACTCTTGCCAGGAAAATCCCATGGATGGAGGAGCCTGGTAAGCTACAGTCCGTGGGGTTGCAAAGAGTCAGACATGACTGAAGTGACTTAGCAGCAGCAGTGAAAGCAGCTGATCTAAAAAAGCTACATACCATATGATTCCAACTATCTGACATTCTGGAAAAAGCAAACCTATAGAGATAGTAAAAAGATCAGAGGGTGGGGGTAAGGAAATCATAGGCGGAACATAGATTTTTAGGGCAGTAAAAATATTCTGTAAGCTGCTATAGTGATGGATACATGTCCTTATTCTTTTCTCCAAACCTACAGAAAGTAGAACACCATGAGTGAACCCTAATGTAAACTATGGATTTTGGGTGATGATGATGTTTGTCACAGTCTGTTCATCACCTATAACAAATATACCACTGGCGGGGTGGGGGGATGTTAATAGTGGGGTAGGCAGTACATGTGTAGGGGCAGTGGTTATGTGAGAACTCTATAAGTTTCCACCCGGTTTTGGTGTGAACTTAAAATTGCTCAAAAAAGTCCTCCAAAATAAAAGTAAAATAAGATAAAATAACCAAGGCTACGTTTCCTAATAATTTTTTAAATGTATCTTTTTTTTCTGTCTTCTTCTCCACTTCTGACCACCCTAACCAGAGTAGCAAGACATATTTCCTGTTTGTCTAGCAATTACCATTTTGGTTACATTAAAATTGTTAGGGGATTCATCCTATTTCCTTTACTATAATATTTTGGAAGGTTGTGGCAGGAATGGCAGTGTACCTTCAGTTCTCTTACACTGCCTTCCCATGCCTTGCCTATTTTGTTGTTGTTTAGTCCCTAAGTTGTGTCCAGCTCTTTTGCGACCCCATGGACTGTAGCTCACCTGGTTCCTTGTCCATGAGACTTTCCAGGCAAGAATACTGGAATGGATTGCCATTTCCTCCTCCAGGGATCTTCCTGATGCAGAGAATGAACCCGCATCTCCTGTATTGGCAGGGAGATTCTTCGCCACTGAGCCACCAGGGAAGCTCCTTCAGATGGTGCTTTAAAAAAAAAAAAAAAAAGTTGTGAAATTTAATCATTAAATTCTAAATTTCCTGCACCATTCAATAAGGCATTC